TAAAAAAAAATTAGTTATTTCACCTTTCCGATTCCTGATCCATGGGGTCATCGTTGGATTGCCAACTTGAAAAGGGAGGATTTGCCAGCGAACTTCTGGCCAGAGAAAAAACATGTGATATTGAGCCAACATTTGGAAGAAGAATGTTTTCAAGATGACTTGGATAATAGCGCGTTGTGACAAACACCAGATACAGCACTGGGACTTGATCAACAGCCGATACCACACCGTAACATCACAAACCAGTAGGTGGCAGTAGTGTTCTTTGACAAACATGGATGCCTCCAGTGAAAAAGAGACTACCTGCCAGCTGTCGTCGCTTCGGCAGATGAAAAATAAATCAGTCCGATCATATTCAGAATTAAAATTTTTCTGAAAGAATTTTAAATATGAAATTATTCTGTTCAATAAATGATCAGTGTTTTTAATACATTTTTATTTGAATGTGCTTGTGAGCTCGTTCCGCTACGATCGTCATCCTTTAGCCCATGCCTTTTCCTCTCCCAGCTGAACTCTGTTTGCTTCCAGGTACTTTCTGAGGGCGACGGTCGGCCGAAGGTTGACTGACATCAGCAAAGAGCTGGACGTTGTGGTTCACACGCTGAGCACCTACCCAGACCTCAACTCCTCCATCAAGATGGAAGTGGGGATCGAGGACTGCCTGCACATTGAGTTTGAGTACAATAAATCCAAGTAAGAGTTTTATTCCAGCAGATTATGGCATCGGTGAAGGGAGGACGGCTAGCGCTAACCGTTTGCCACGCGCTTGCAGATATCACCTCAGAGATGTGATTGTTGGGAAGATTTACTTCCTTCTGGTGAGGATTAAGATCAGACACATGGAAATCGACATCATCAAGCGGGAGACGACCGGAACGGGACCCAACGTTTACCATGAGAATGACACCATCGCAAAGTATGAGATCATGGACGGCGCTCCGGTCAGAGGTGATCACCAGGAAGTCAGGGCCGGTGTTCTGTCAGACCAGCATACCCTGTCTGACCAGCATACCTATAGTCAATATGAATGCGTCAGATTTATGTTTATCCCTTTAGTTTTTTACGAAAAATAGATTTTAAACTACCTCAACAGGCATGTATCCCTTTAGTCATGTACCAAAAAAAAAAATAACTGAAAGGTGAGATCTCCATACACTTAAAAAAACACCAAAAAGGGAGTACTGTATTTTTAGGACTATACGAGACTATACTATACCGGACTCAAAATCGCACCTTTTTGAAAGGTTATTTTTTTCATGGAATCCGCGCTCTGATAACTGATGCGTTGTAGGCTACTGCTCCAAGAGCGCAATGTTTTATTTCATGAACGAGCATCTGAGAAGCGGTAATAACGCGCCAGTTGCCCTGTCGCCTACCCTGGTTGTTTTAGATATCACCACTACTATCATTAATACTATCACTGTTATAGGCGTACATGTAAGAGGCCTAGTCACCAGGCCTATTTTATAGCCTAATTTACACTCTTAAAG